GGCTTCAGGGCTTAAGAGACAGTTTGTGAAAATAGTGATTGAATGAACAGATTTGAGAAGACGTTGCATGTTGTTCTGACATTATTTGAACCAACCAGATATGTGAAAATCGGCTATTGAGTAACATAAGAGATCCAATCAGATTGGAATAAGTTCAGCAAGAAGCCTGGAACTGACTAAAACAAAGAATGGGTGGCTCTACCACATTTCCACTGATTCCATTGACATTGTCATTCATTATCTTGACCAATCCATTCTAGAAACTTAAATGAAGGGTAGGGTTTAATTCTGTTTCATACTTTTTCTCTATTAAGGACAGGCCAAATTTCTATATTTCATCATAATTGGCAACTCTTCGTTTTGTAAAACAGCATGTCTTTTCAACATGCTGTGTAAAAGTAAATGACTTATGATTGATGCTGTTGTCCTACATAATATTCATTAGATCCGTGCAAATGGCAAATAATTCTACCCCATGTCGAATACACTCCACTCAGGCTACCATAGCAACCAACAATTACCCCAACCATAGGCGAACAATATGACTTAATTTCATCATGCAGCTTTCACTGTCTGTCCAACTATCCATTTTGAAATGATATTAACATTTTGAAAGCAGTGGAACGAAATTAAAATATGGAGTAGAGTTAGGGTGAGTGAGCATTTTCAAGTGTAACATGCAAGGTACTTAACGTGCAAACATATTTGGCCAACTGCCTCACAACTATATTGCCTAAAGGATTATTTCTGTTGGGATTGTGAATACAAATACACAGTTACAAACTCACAAGCCCTCAAGTGTGATTTAGTAATTTGAAGCTTTCTCTCCCCTCTTAGGATAACGGATAAACGGAATAGCCCTTGTAGAAAAAGAGGGTCAGAGTAGGGTGAGACGAGATGGGAGGTTCGGGAGTACACTGGTGAATTCTTGGACAATTAGGTACATCTCCAAAGGAATTGAATCAAAGCCTTCAAGGAAAGCTATCAAGGATTGATAAATCTGTTTGATTCACATATAGTTTAGGAAGTCAAGATTGAGTTAGTGGATGGAAGAGTTTGTACGTGAGATACATGGACTGTAAATGCGGCCAGAATGACATGCCAAATAGCTTTTTGCATCACAGACTTCCATCTTATGAGGTTGTCCACCTGTGAAAGGTTTACTTTACTTTAGCTGCATCTGTTTATGGACTTGATACCATTAACATAAAAGTTCTTGTGAAGAATCCATCACTGACCGACATTTAAAATAGAAACATTCTCCTAAATTAAAATAAATAAAATGTTACTAGTCCAGACGATGCGATCTCAAGCAGAAATGTTGAGGTGGCTATCTTGGCTTTAGGACACATTTTAACTCCAGCCCTGGACACATGCACTGTAATTATGTGAAAAGTTTAAAATCTTGATGGGCTGATTTGTGCTAGGATACTATATCAATGTTGTACACTGAGCTCAGTATCAAAGACATGTGCAATATAGATACTACTTACCTGAATACTTACCCTAGTACTGTTACATTGTTTAATCTCTGATAGAACTCAACGATTAACAGTGTAACTCAACCCACTATCACCCAATTTCATCCCTGTCAGACTGACCACACTGCCCAATGCCACTGACCAACCCTGCTGACCCAGAAATCTGCACCTTCAACCTTCCCAGATTCGATTTCCCACCTTTCTTCAAACCACCCTCCACCCACTCACCAAATTCTCTCTTCCACTCACCATCCCCACACAATCATCCATTCATTCACTTATTACCTCACGCATCTGCTTGCCCACTCACTCACTTGCCCAATGACTTATGCACCCACTCACTGAACCTCCCATCTCACTTGTTCACTCACTGACTCCTTAACTCACTCACTCACACTCTCCTTAACTCAATCACTCACTCACTCAATCAATGACCCATCCACTCACTAACTCACTCAATCACTCATCACTCACTAATCCAGTCACTCACTCATCTCTAACTCACTCACTTATTTACACTCTAATTCACTCACTCACTCATTCACTCAGTCAACAACTTTGAGATCCCTGAATATAGCAACCAGACATTAGATGGGCTGTCTGTCTGGGCTTTCTGCTGCACTGCCAATGACATCCTCACTTTGTCACTTCCATAGTTCTAAACCAGATTTGAGACTGCCATGAGCTTCACAAGACAACAGAAAAATCCAGTCTAGATCATTGCCCACATGTGAAGTTGTTGGAATAGTTTGTATACTTTGAGATCAGTGTTGGGTGTGTGCGGGGAGCCACTATTTTAGCTTGTCCTTGCTGGCATCCCAATTATTTATTTAGAATTTGGACTTTCACAATGGCCGATTTCAGAAACAAATCTCATCATAATTTTAGGAAGTCAAAATAAACTTGCTTTTTGTTAGTTTTATTTTCAAACTTGTAAATGTTAACCAAGGGAAGACCATCTTTGATCATATTAATCTTTAACCTCTATTTAGATGCCAATAAAAAGGTGATACAGATAATCATACCGCTCTCTATTCCCTCAGAACACTACAAGGATGAATATATTTTGTGTCTGGTAAATCATTTTCTACAGAAATTCAAATCTACCACAACCTGTCCAATTCAGTAGTACATCCTTCCAAGTATTTAATAAGATATGGGGTAACAATTTGAAAATTATGACGAACAGTGACCCACACCCACAGTCAAAACAGATATCATTTGTAATCTTTGAGTTATTCTACTGCCCATTCACAGTCTAATTGGAAAGATTTAAATGTGGAGTTGGGTGGTCATGGATTTGGAAGGCAATAACATGCTCCAGGACTTTGAAAAGAAAAGAGGTGTGAGTGATGGGATAGATAATTTCAAGGACATAGTGGCCGAGAGTCTTATTTATTGAGAGCAGTGGGATGTTAATGGAGATTTTCAGAGGAAAAGTGACAGTGCTGGAGGAGAGGCAAGCATTTCCAAAGGCAGCTAGCATGGGGTCTTGAATTGGAGGTTGGATGGTGAGTGGGCTAATGGGATCAACATAGGCAAGGCTCACAAGAGATAGACAATCTCTTAAAAAGTGAGCTTGCCAGTGTGTCTACCATATACAGTTGCTACAATTAGTGACGAATGAATGTCACAGAGCATGAAAGATGAAATAGAAGAATCACATATGCTATGGATGGCATAGAATGTGTTGAGAGGAAATTTAAATAAGGTTCACTGGCAATAATTATTTCATCTCTCAATGTGTAACATTTTACTCTCGGGGGTCAGGTCTGTGAGGATTTTGTGGGGAAGAAATGCCTGTCATCAATTCAAGGGCATAAAACTTCTGCTCTCAAACTTCTGGCCACTTATTTTAGAGTGTTTGGATTATTGTGAACAGTTCCAGTCACCTCAACAGAAACAGGGCAGTCAAACCCAGAAGCAACACTGAGGAGAGCAACACGGTTAATCCTCAGTGTGGAAGTGAGCAGGATTTATGACGAACAAATGAATATATATATCCCTACTCAGCCTCAGGACAAAATGTTGCAGAGGATATATCATAGATATTAACAAGTTAAGGGGAAAAAGGTCTTACAATGGCATATAGCCTTTCATAACCTCAAGATATCAAAAATTCCTTTATAACTAGTGAAGTACTTTTCAAGGGTAGTCACTGTTGTAATGTCACTAAAAACAGTGCAATCCTTTCCAAAACATCAGGCAGGCAGGACGACATGGATTTAGGACAGCAGGAATGATGTCTTACAAAGGAGGTAATCAACAGGGTTAAGAGGAACAGATGATTAAGGTTAGGATTGATCCACAAAGCAGCTTGAAGAGGGTCTTGTGGTGCAGTGGTAGCTGTATACTTGTTGCTGGGCCATAAAGTGTGGGTTCAAGTCCCATCTCAGAATATGACAGCCACAGAAGAATGTCACCACATGTTCAAACAGGTTGATTTGGGTAAAGAAATAAATAGTTTGCCATTGTAATGGTGAGAAAGTGGGCTTGGCATTCAGAACAAATGATGCCAAACAGATCAAAAGATCTTTTATCTGAACTTTGTCAGTACAATCATTAGCAGTCTATTTTCAACAGTTTATTGCTGGATAAAATATTCAGGAAGCTAGAAATTATATGCTGCCAAGTTTTCACCAGTTTGTTTCATGCCTCAGATTATTCTGTCTTTTCTGCAACTCTTCTTAAAATCTTTCAGTTTCAGTGATATTTTGAAAAACCCTCAAGATCCTGGTCTAACTGTGACTGTTATAAGATATAAAATGATTTTGCAAGCTCAGCATATTTCAAGACCTTCTTATTTTTTGCCACATATGCTGTAAAATAAAGTGCCCTCTTCCTAATTAATGGGTTTTTTTGAAAAACAAGACTTTGTTGCAAGTGGGTCATATGTGGTAATAGCACTGATATCAGAATCTCTCCTGTGCTTAAATAACAATGGAGGGAAGCTATTGCCAGGGGAGAAATGTGGCACATTGCAAAACGTTCCCGTGACAGTACTAATTCTTGGTGAAGTTGGTCTTTGCTTTTATCTCTGATATGGTAGACAAGGCCAACTCCCTTGAAGTCTAAGGTCATTACTTTTATACTAGGCATGATTACCATCCTTGATTCATGAGGCACATCTCAAGTGTGCAGCCTTTAAGTTGCAGTGACATTTAATAAATAGCACAATTTTTTTTTTCTCACACGTTTACGAATTGCATTAATGTCCCCATGTGTAGCATGCTGTAAAGTATCTGTTCTCCTTTATTTAGAATGCAGCATGTGTAAAAGAATAAAACTGCATGCAATCCTTTGAATATATAATTAAATTACATGACTGACTTCACCCTAATAAAGAAACACTTTAGTGAACTGTCATCTTGTCTAATAAGTGTGTCTGAGACTGCTTCTCACCTATTTGGGGAATTGCAGTTTCATTGAAATGGTTGTGCTGTAATAAAAATGCTATCCTTATTCTCTCTCTCTCTCTTTCTCGTTCATTCATGCATCTCATCTTTCTTTTTTTAACAGATGAAGACTTCTACTCATGAGGAGTCTAGGAAAGATGCAACAAAAATCAGCGTGAGTTGCAGTAGCTGACTGTTACCAGATTAAATTTCATTTTGTGTCTAGTTATATCTCCCAATAATACGCAAAGTCTACATATGTCATTTGCATATTAAGAAGTAAGTAGAACACGCAAATAAAAAAGTTTAGGATCAGTTTCATTGTAAGACATTTGTTAAGAAAAAAAGTCAAATGCCTAAAGTACCACACAACAATGGTCCTGCATCTCTGGTTTACACTGAGGTTACAGGTGAGTTGATGGGCCAAGTATTACACTTAAGGTCCAAATAGTAAGCATTTAAGTAGGAAATGTTGTTCCAATTTGATTCCTATCAGACGGTTACTTTTATTGTCATTTGCCCAACCATCAGATGGTACACTTCTTCATCTGAAGGCCTAAGATGGACCGTGTCTGCAGGGACACTATGTACAAAGCTCTGGATAAGTGGCGGAGGTGTGGGGTGGGGTAGAACATACCCAATGCTGCCTTCATCCTGATGGCCACCTTTGTGTGTGGCTGCATCAAGGTGTGCGTAGGCCTTCAGTACGCCACTACATACTGAGGTTCTATCTTTCACTGGTGTTGCGAAGGATGGGATTGGCCTCATTGCCATGGAACGCTTTATGTAGTTGGACTGTTTTGTATCACCTGTCCTTCATTAGAGAAATTTGCAAAAAAATAAACTCCTTTGACCACATTTCCATCAGAGTCAACACATAGCTTCCCCAAGAAAGGAGAGGGTGGATCCTGTCCCATGGTTCCCTGAGCAGACTGGCAAAGTCACTTGGCAGAAAGCCCCATCACCAGGACTTTCCATCAAGCACTGGGACATTGCTTGGCTGGTGTTGAGAAGGGCACTATCTGGGAGATCCTTCATATATACCGATCGGTCTGTGCCACCGCACGCTGCCCTCAAAGTGGCTGTGGTGGCATAGAGACTGTCACACGTCTCCTTCTGGAATGTGCCTTTGGAAAGGAAGTCTGGCGAGAGATGGAGTGATTTTCGTCAAGGTTCGTTCCAAGCAAGAATCTGTGCTCTACGGTCCATTACCCGGGACACACACTGAATCAAACATTAGCTATCAACTCGGGGAGAATGCTGTTTGGTCTGCCTGAAACTTGTTGGTCTTCAAGAACAAGAAGCTGATGTCTACTAAGTGTTGTAGACTGGCACATTCCAACACCCAGGGACTATGTGCTGAGGTACGCACTAAAGCTTGGGGCAGCTGCTGCCAAAGCGGAGTGGGGAAAGACCACCATTAAAGGTCTTTCAGCCAAAGTTAAGTAGGGGTCTGTTCAGGTATTGGATTCTCCCGGTGCCTCAAATATATGCAGATATAATCTTGTATAAGTAAGAAATGCCTTGGGTTTGTTTGTTGGATAGAGTCAAGCTCCAATGTTTGTTTGTTTCTCTATATGCTACCATACAGAACTGAACTGCTTTAGTGATTGTGTGTTTGTAATAAAGATTTTTTTATGAATGAAGTATATTTTTGAACTAAAAGAAAGTCAGCACATTTCATGGCACTGTACTCCTCTGCCTAATGGGGAGAAGCTAGATAGATTGACTAATTCCAAACATCCAAAGGTGCCTGCTGACAATATGCACAGTAGCAGCACCAGAGAGCAGTGTGTTTAGAGTGGTTCTTGTAGCTGAAGGAAGGAGTTGTGGGTTGGGGGCCCTTTCACAATTGTCTATGATCACACCTCAAAGGAAATATGGAATGGACACATCTCCCAAGTGACTCTTGGTAGCAAGCTCAAGTCTAACAAAACCCATAATGGTGACTGCCAAAATTAATCATTTAAATCATATTTAAGTGCCACATCATAAATGTCAGAATAGCACTGAATTCTTTATTACAGGCTAGGACAATCATCCAGGTGAAAAGTGGAACATGAACTATATGATCCTGCTTTCTCTTTCTCTTTCTCTCTCTGTCTCTGTCTGTCTCTTTCCCTCTCTCTTTTCTTTCTCTCCTCTCTCTGAGTATCTCTCTCTTCTCTCTTTGTCTGTCTCGTCTATCTTTTCTCTCTATTCAAACACAGAACATGGAACAATACAACACAGGAATGGGCCCTTCGGCCCATGGTGTTGTGCCAAACATGACGTCAAATTAAACAAATCCCTTCTGTATGCCCTTCATCCATATCCCTCCATTTCTTATATGTTCATGTGTTTATCTAAAAGCCTCTTAAGTCTCTTATTGTTTCTCAATCTCTATTCTCTCTCTAACTCTCTCTCTCTCTCTCTCTCTCTGTCTGTATCTATCCTTGCCCAATCCTAAAGAGCAGTGGTTAGACACAGGTCTCCAATCATAGATTCTACATAAATAGAATATCTGGTCTGGGTGCACAGCAGACAACATTGTTCATTTGAAAGGTCAAGTTTAATTTCTAACCTCTGATGTGTTACTTCCTGGAAATTGAAAAGCAGATATCAGACTTCCAGGCCTGAAGTTTTGCCATGAAGGTAGTTAGCACGAATCAGGAAATTTCCATGCTTCCTGCACTGGCCTCGGTAAAAGGCCCCTAAATTTTGTAATCTTTATTCAGGGGTGGAGGATGTAGAAAAAGGACCACCAACCCCAGAGCATAGATGGCCATAAAGGCAGCCAAGTACTGATGGGGACAGATAGTAAGTCCACGTCAGTTCTCTGGAACTTTATCCCACTTGTTTTTGGCCTTTTCCACCTCACCTCTCACACCCCTGTGTAGCCACCCATCCCCTAAGAGCCTTTAGGCCCCCATGCCAAATCTCTCAGTATCCATTTAAAAAAAAGGAGGCATGTGGAGATGAAATAAATTAAAGTTCTAAAAATGTTATACAAATTTCACTATACAGACTTGGTAGTTAAGACAATCCTCATTCATAAAAGCTGATTCAAAGACTTTTTTCTTAATCTCAAGTGCTTAATATTTAATTGCGCAAAGTTTTATTCATATCCCACATCAAAGACAGCTAATCCTTTAACATCCCTTTTAAATTGTCAGACTGTGAACTGACAATCCCTGTTGAGATAATTGTAGCTTTTAGAAATCAGGCAAGCATTCATAAAGAACCCTGAAGGAAATGTCAACAAGCAGCTTCACTGGCACCTGCAGTCTTTATCCATGGCCCGGGATACAGATAACTTTGTATCATGATGGTGATACAGACTTACCTTCCTCTCAAGAGTGTTTACATTGATTCCACAAATTTGTGACTTCCACAACGTGGGTTAAGGCCCTTGCAATTGCCAGCAAGGTTTGGCTCTTTTGAAACTGGGAATGGAAACTCCTGCTTCTGGATCCCACCCAGCATTGTTGGAGTCTCCATGACTTTCTGAAAATCTGTACCCCATTGTCTGCTATCACGAGTCAATTCACATATTCCATTCTGTGAGTTGAAATTAATGATCCATGATAAAACTTGCTAAACCCTGAGTGGGGGAAGAGGAAAGGAGCAGTGGGGGTACCAATAAAAGGTTTGCATCTTTTGTTGGCATTGGTCCAATCTGAAATCTGTCATTAGGTTATGTTTGATTCCAGCAGGAAATTAGAGGGAAAATGTTAACAGCAGAAAATTTTAACATCATTCTCTTCCTACTGTCTAAGCAGCTCTGTCCTGCACAATACCATGTTAACTTGCTCCTGGCTAAGAAGGTGATGAAATGTTCTCTGCGATGGTCTCTCTGTAAGAAACAAACAGGCTTGGTGTGCTGGTGATGTGAAGTGACTGGCTTTCCACTTTCCAAATCTCTCTGCTCACACCTCCTATTCCTTATAGCCCTGATGGTTATATCGATCGGCATCCCATTATCCGTCATTTCCACCCATCGCCCTCGCCAACTTCAATGTGCTAAGAAAAGCCAGTAAGGGGTTACGGCAGAGTGAGATTCACAAGAGAAGAGAGGGAGCCTGCTCTGTTTGCAGTAGCTGTAGATGCTGGTGTTCCTGTGGGGATAGGATTGCTGCAGACTGCAGCTGCTGCAGGGAGAGAGAATCCATTAGCATAATGGTATATCATTGTATATGCAAGAAATAGGCTCTGTGCAGTGAGGCGAAAATCAGTTTTAATCACAGTATGTGGTTATTACCACTTTGAAGATGCTTTGATGCACATAGAATTTTACATGTACAAAACCCTGTGTTTCTTCAATGTTACTGAATGTTAATTGAGTTTTCCATTCCAGGTAGTAGGTGGTATCAGGGGTTCCTGTCTCTCTGCAGGTACAAGCTGCTAAGACTGACTGCAAGTACCAGCTACTCTTGCTAGACAAATCTCAGAACACAGTGAAGCCTGTCTGATATTGCCCCGGACACTCTCGTTGCTCAGAGCTTAATTTCAGGCTTACTCTTGCCACAGCATGACACATAAACCATACCCCCACCCCCTGATGTGAGTGATGACATGAACAGCGAACCATGAGGTGTTCAGAATTCCTTCAACCCTCAATGATCTATTTCCACCTGCATTTAAAGCTGATGTTGCTTTTATTCTAACCTCTGTCCTTGTTCTGTGGAGAATTAATGCTAGCTTCCATTTCTTTGAATATCATAGACTAATGTACAACCACTTGCCTTCACACATCATTATGCTGCAATTTTTTTTGTACCAGAGCTGTCTTATATATGAGAACAGAAGCCTTATTATTACAGAATACATCAGATTTCTTATAAAACACTGAATCATGTTTTGTTTTGGATTTTGAAGTCCAAATTTTAAAAGCCAATAAGAAGATAATGCTAAATATAATTCTTGTAATATTCTTCAGCAAAAGAAAAACAGTCAGAAAGCTTGAATAAACCTCTTCTGAACACTTTCTAAAGCCTTTACATCTTTCCTGAATTGTAATGTCCAGAATTGGCACAATTCTCCAGGTGAGACCTCACCAGTGATTTATTTGGTTCTGGCTTTATCTTGTCATTTTTCTATACTGTTCTTCTATTTATAAATCCAAGTAATTAATTTTTCTTAACAAGCCACTGTCTCATTTACAGAACTGTGTCTATGGACTCAAATGTCTCTCAT